GAGAGCAGTCCTAAGTAAAAGCAAGAAGCAATTTTGGCTATAATTAGCTGTCTTAAATTCCACCTCCCCCCAACACTTCCTCACTTTAAAGTTAGATTATTAGAATTCATGCAATGAGGGACAGCGCCTTAAGTCTGCTTGGGGCTGGAGCTGGAACAGAAGGACAGAGCATCTTCCAGAAACCACAGGATTTCTTTGCTCCAAGGTAGTTTTTCCCTTGAAGCCTTAATGGTCTGGGGACCAACCTACCTGAAATATAGCTCTCTCTTCAATGAGACTCTCCTTTTGGTGATGGACAGATGCACCCTTGCTAGATCCCTTCCACACATGAGACACCTTCCCCAGTTTTTTATTAGGACTCCATCAACCCCTGCTTAGGCCAGATTAAACACATTTCTGAGTACACTGCAGAATCCCCTTTTCAAAGTTTGGAGCATCTGAAGGAGTGGCCAGCATATTAGGTCTTGTAGCATGGAAGAGAGGACTTTAACTATGAATTTGATTTTGTAATTTTCAATATGTGGCAGGGCACTCCAAGTATAGTGATGGATGCTCCTTCCATCTGACTCCTGAAAAAGCTCAATCAAGTGCTACAGCTGTACAAGAATGTGGACTCTCTTACATAGATAGATAGATAGATAGATAGATAGATAGATAGAGATATCTATCTATCTGTCTATCTTATATAATGTTTGGAAACTGGAAAGCCCAGCTGCCTTCCATGCAGTAGATTTCATAGACATTAGGGCTGGAAAGGACCTCGGAAGATCATCGAGTCCAGCCCCCCGCCCCAGGGGCAGGAAGTCAGCTGGGGTCAAAGGATCCCAGCAAGATAAATGTCCAAATGTCTCTTAAAGGAGTCCAGAGTATGTGCTTGCACCACCTCTGGCAGCAGTCTGTTCTAGGCCTTGTGGGCTCAGACAGAAAAGAAGTTCTTCCATATGTCCAGCCTGAAATGGTCTTGGAGGAGTTTGTGACCATTTGACCTTGTCATCCCTTGGGGAGCTCTGGTGAACAGGTGTTCCCCCAGATCCTGATGCACACCCCTTATATACTAATAGGCAGCCAGCAGGTCCTCCCTGAGGCTGCACTTTTCCAGGCTGAAGAGCCCCATGGCTCTCAGTCTCTCATCATAAGGCCTGTTCTCCTGCCCTCTGATAATGCGTGTGGCTCTCCTCTGGACTCTTTCAAGCTTCTCCACATCCTTTTAAAATTGTGGAGCCCAGAATTGGATGCAGTACTCTAGCTGCGGCCTCACCAAGGCCGAGTACAAAGGGAGAATGACATCCTGGGATTTGCTTGAGAAGTATCTATGGATGCAAGCCAGAATTCTGCTCGCTTTACCAACTGCAACATCATATTGGTGGCTCTTATTCATCTTGTGGTCAATCATGACTCCCAAGTCCCTTTCAGCTGTGGTGCTAGCAAGTATGTCAGGGCTGTCCCATTTGCAAGCCACAAGGAGTTAATTTGTGGCCTGCAGGCATGAATGGTGCGTGCCCCCAACAGCTGGGGGGCACGGCTGTGCTGGGGTCAGCAGGGGGGTAGTGGGGTGGTGAGCGTTGACCAGGGGTTGGTGACCACCCGCAGACATTGCCAGCAGCATCAGCAGTGGCCAGTGCAATCGTGGATCACCCACAGACGCCGCCAGCAGTGTTGGCGGCAGGGTGGCGAGCAGTGATTGCCTGCAGGCGCCGCCAACAATGTCAGTGGCACCTTTTTGCAGGGGGTACACCACCACACTCAGGGGGTGCACATGCACCTGCATGCACCCCCTATGCATCGCCCCTGCCTGCCAGCTTCCACCTAGGTGCCACTCCCCCATCACTCTAGCTGCTGTTGCCTCCACTAGGATCTTCAGGCTCCTCCTCCCTCCTCTGTCTTGAGCTTCCTGCCCTGACCGTAGGCACAGACCCTGTGCTGTGGTGGAGTGTTTGCAAGACCTAGTGCAGTGGGGATATGCCCACACGGCATGTTGTGCCAGTGGCATGGAGTCCCGTGCATGGAGGTCCATCCAGCGTGCGGTTTCTGGCCACTCTGAAGTAGGACAGCTCTGCTGTATGAGATTACCCAGAGCTCTCATGCACAGTTCAGAAAGACCTGGTCAAACCTCTCCTCTCTGACTCCTGATCTCTATTGCCTTTTCTATGTTTTTGCATGTCTGGCATTCAAGGTAACTGGAGCAATGTTAAGGAAATGAGCGTGCAGTGTGCTTAAGACAGCTGTCCTGGAGGTAGAGGAGAAGCCACACTCATTATTCAAACACTACACAGGTTGGACTTCGGACTTCAAGCAATGGAACTGGCTTATCAATGCAAATGGGTAGAAAATGTTCTTCTCATCCTGTAAGACTGCTCACAGAAGCAGTCCTGATCTAAAACCATTCAAGTTTCTTCTGAGAAAACATATGAGAGTTTCTAGGGTTGTCAGTAGCCTCCTAGTCAGGGGCCTTGCAAGGGATGTGGCAGGCCTGACTGGAAGGCTCTGCCCTGACATTCTCTTACAGTAGAAGGCAGGGTAGATTTGAACCTTATAGACTAACCAAAGTAGACATGCATATGTATATGTCTACCCTAGTCCATATATGTATATGTACATATATACGTACATACATACATACATATGTACATATATATGTATGTATGTCCATATATGTGTATATTTATCTGTATATAGCAAAGCTTTTTTGAGCTGAAGCTCACTTCATCAGATGCTGTGTGTATATCTATATCTATCTATATCTATATCTATCTATAGATAGATAGATAGATCTATGTCTCTTATAGTCCAGTGGGACACTGCAGCCATACAAACAACTGGTTGCACTAGGGTGGGGACTCTCTGGGATTGCACAGAATTTCATCCTAGACCTGAGAAATCTTGTTCGAGAGAAGCTATGCAGAAACTGGTGCATTCCCATGAAAAGTTTTCGTTTTGGTGCACTGGTGTTTTCCACTGAAAGATGTTACGGTCAAAAGATTCCTGACCATCTCCCTTCATAGTGAACTTGGTGACAGTGAGAGAAAGCTAACAATGATGTGAAAGTCCTATAGTGCTTCAGTGTTGTCAGAAAAAACTTTTGTTCCTTGTCTGTATCAGGAGATTCTTTGGGAAATCTAGTGTTGACAACTAGAGTTCAGTTGGTAACGTCTCACAGGGGTAAATGTACACCCCTGTGTAAAAGTCACACCCTTTTTTAATCCCCCAGTTTAGTTCTTCTGCTCCAAGCAGGAGCTGAAATATGTGGGACTTATCCAGCTCTATATAGCAGATGGGACCAGGCTATAGGAGGCCAAGGGAAAGGATAATCCTTCTTTAGAGAGATGTCCGGGGCCTTCATTATGTTACAGTAGAGCATCCATTGAGTAGCTTTTTACGGTGGTTTTACAGATGCGCCATGGACTTGGGAGGAAGAGGTCTCCCTCTACACAGCCCATCTTTGCTGGACCTTGCCTTCTAGGCAGGCGTAAGCTTCCATTATAACCAGGCAGTACCTTGCCTAGTCCCATGGAGGTCATCAGGCAGATGTTAAATGCCACCCTGTGAGGGGATACCCTATCGGGAGAGGAGAGGCAAGAAAAACAGTTGTCCACATCCCAGAAAAGGAGTGCGAGGAAACTTTCTTAGTTTCTGTTCTTGAATGGGAGTGAAAGAGCTCACCTTGCTGTAAGCGTTCCTCAAAAGGAGCAAAAAGCGAAGGTCGTATGTTCCCAACCTGTTCATAACATGAGATACTGTGTTGAATAAGTTTTTCTGATGTTTGCTAGAAACAGTCTGTAGAAAGGGACCTGTTTTCCATGCAACTGTTCTCTTGTACCAAAAAACAAAATCAAAATTTGAATTTTTTTTTTATTAGCTCTACTTCCAACCCTGATTGTCTGACATATTTCTGTACTCCTTCCTGGCAGGGAACCTGAGCCCAACGCTATGCCTAAAGGATGCATATGGGGGGCCCTGATAAAACTGGCAATGCTTGTCATTCTGTCAGTGATAGTCAATGGTAGTATTTATACCTTCTGTGAACAAAAACAACTGTGATTTTTAGAGGCCTCATTGTTTGGCTTCCAGTTTTCAGAAAGTGCCCACTTTGGGGTCTCAGATTGGACCCCCACCCTCCCCAAAAGCTCTTAGCTTTCACTTGGTTTTTGATTAATAAATAATACAGCAATTCTTCTGTTGCTAAGAACTCAGAAAGACCACAACAGGTGAGAATGTATTCGATACTATGGATTCCTTTTTGAAATTGCTGCGTTTATCTTGTAAATCATGTCTGTACATCTAACAGTGCTAACATTGCCTGGCACCCTGCATCACCCATAAAAGGATCTCATGTCAATCCAGAGTGCAGTGACACCCTCGTTGAGAATCACAGCAATGCAGACTTCACCAAAGATTCCACTTTCTGTTCTCTGTAGCAATCAAGGCTTTTGGTTAGGAGTGGTATTATTTCCTTTTCAACTCACAAAACAAGACAGGCTGAGAAAGCAGATGGAACTGGAGGATATAACATGTTTATTGTGGAACCAGAATCTGGCATCTCTCTCCCCTTGCAGCTCCTTGATGTATTTATTTTTTTCTGATATATGCTTTAATCACCAAGAATGCAGCATTTCTGTTTTGCATGACAATATTTATTTTAGTGGAAAAAGAAACAAGGCTGTTTGGCTTTTGGACCAATTTATGTATCCATAATAGCATCCTTGTGGGAATCCCAGGTATCTGGGATTCCAAGTGGTGAGTATGTGGTCAGAAACTGAGAATGCATTGTGAGAATGGGAGGAATAATTGCATGTGACAAAAAAATCTCTCTTCAGCATCAAGGGCAAATGCCCTTTGTCTTACTCCCCTGTTTGTTTCGGCCAGCTGTTGAAAATTGTGGTAGGTGAAGCTCTGGGATCTCAGCTCAGGAGACAGAATGTCCATGGATTTAAGAAAACTTTTCATTGGAATGCACCAGTTTCTGCATAGCTTCTCTCAGACAAAATTTCTCAGGTCTAGGATGAAGTCAATGGGACATAAGCACATGCTTCAGTGCTTTCCTGAATGGAGATGCTTTCTTGAACCGGCCCTAATAACCGCTCAAAACTTTACTTTGTGAAGACATTCTCTTCCTACAGTGGTCTAATTCCAATGACTTTGATGGAGTTAGTTCTGATTTATGCCAGCATATGCAAGATTAGGAAAAGGCCATTGCCTCTGGTTAAACATAAGCCCTGCAGCTCTCTTTCCAACTGCTGCTTCTGTAAGGGCTTTACTAAACATGTAAGTCAATACTTGTTTGCTTAAGAAAAAAGGATTTTCTGATAGTTAAAGACATTGGAGCTCCAGCAGGCCTGAGTTCAATTTCTGGCTCTGCCACTGTCAAGTTGTTAATGATTAATTAGTAAAGCAGATTAATTAGTAAAGCATTAATTAGTAGAGTTTATTAATTAGTAAAGCAGGCCTGTAAGCAATGCAGATTTCTTCATCTTCTGGTGAAGATTAGGCTTCTGCAGTGCTGAGTCAGGAAGCAGATCTGTCTTGCTAGCTCTAGGGAGAGGTATCTTTGACAATCCACTCTGCAAAGGTGGGTGAGTTGAGCTGCAAATGAAGAGAGAAATGAAAATTAGCAGGTTGGGATGAGTCCACACAGTCAGTCAAATGCTTGGAAGGCTTCCAAAACAGGTTTGTAGAAACAAGTTGTTTTAACCCAAGCACTTTGGTTCTGGAAACACATCTCCAAATACCGTGCTTTTTGCCATTTCCTTAGTCACAGCAGGCTCGGCTGTGCCCTTTCCACCTTGCTGTTTTCTTTCCCCATGGAATCCTTTGCAGCTAGTGCAAGACACAATACAAATGCATTCATGGGATCCTGAGCAGAGAGAAAAGCATAAATTTTCCTTGAATGCAGATGATGTCCTTTTCATGTACTGCTCAGCCTGGATGACTCCATCAGCCCTTTAATAAATTGCATTGACTCATGCAGGGCTGACCAGGCCTAGGAGACAGAGCCCTCAAACTGCTGGCAGTTTGTCTGGATAGCAATTTGTTGGAGCTCTGTGTTGAGTGGGCGCTTGAAGGACTCACATATGCATTATCTGTGCATAGGAGGAGCTGCCTGACTAACCATTCTGCCTGGGATTTCAAGCCAGATTCTAGTTGCTGCTTCAGGGATGCAGAGGACTCAAGAGAGCATGTAAGCATCACTTTGCCTTTTCAGTCTTGTGCTCCAGTGCAGGGGGCAGGTAGAAGCCAGGGGCTGGAACACACTGAACACAAGGTATGTGGAAGCCACCGCAGCAGCACTAAGAAGCCCTCCTGCAGGATGAAGCATGGGTCTGGGCCTGGAGTAAGCCCTCACCCTGAGCTGCCTAGCAGACAGAGGCCAGCCAACACTGCACCCTTTTACAGCTGGTGCCAATAGACGTGACCTGCCTGCCTCAATCCTAGGAAAGCTGAAGGCTTCTGGGAACTGCCACTGCTGTTGTAGCCCCCTCCACCAAGTCTCAGGAGGTTTTAAAGCTGAAGCTTAACAGTGTGAGTCAGGT